TGCCGCAGCCCTCTAATTTTTTTTGCTGCCCTCTGCTGGACTCTCTCCAATTCGTCCACCTCCTGTCCATAGTGAGGAAGGCAAAATTGGAAACAGTACTCCAGATGTGGCCTCACTAGTGCTGAATAGAGGGGAATAACTTCAGTCAGTTAAGGACTAAATGAGTCTGCCTTGTAAGTAGTACTCATATTGGACTACTTAATGTTCCAATGCCCTGAAAACAAGACTTGCTGGCAATCAAATTCTGTAGCCACTTCAAGTATACAACCCCCACCCCGACCTTTAAAGCCCGAAATGGATTAGAGCTGAGATTTTTAAAAGTCACTTCCTGCCTACATTCCCCCTATGCCTGGGCCATGAATGATGTTACAGCTGAGACCACTCACTTTCAAGCCAAGAGAAGCCTGTAAGCAGAAAATTCTTTGACTGCAGAATTTGCTCCCAATGGAAAAGACTCCCTGTTTCATTGCTTTCTAGGTGCTGCGGGCTTCCTTCTATCAGATAAACAAAGAACAAATCACTGCACTCTGTGAACAAGAAAGAAAAATACATGGATCCTTCTTTTCAGTAAGCAGCTCTGCTAATGAGCCCTGTTACTACCGGATGAAGGGCATGTTAGAATCAGATTACAAACCCTAGGTATGCCGAGGACAGACACCTGAGGAATGCATATAACGGGAGTATTGTTGGGAAGATGGCAACTATTGCTACTGGAAATTGGGCGGGATAAACACATTGCTATACCTCTCCTGCTTGTGACAAATACCACAGATTCTTCAATGACCAGCAATGGTTACTATGATGCTTGACATTTCACCCAACTATCACAAAAACACCCCCAGCACCATTATTAGGACCTTTTTCAGTATCAGCACAGCCTTGTAGACACCAGGCCCTGCAGCAGTTCTGGGAGGGTTCTCCAGCCAAATATGACCTCATTCTTCTTGCAAAGGTCTGGTGATATCGTAGTCTAAGGGTGTATGCACTGGGGGACTGGAACATGGCTGCAAGCTGCTAGTGATGTCTGAACCCAGTTCTTCAGGCATGAGATAAACATACTAACCCAACAGCATTGCCCTGCCCTGCCTGCTCATAATCACAGAAAGCAGGAAAGGAGGAGGGGAATAAAACAAAACTGTGCATGGAGTCAAATGAAAAGCCATTTCCCTCCTGCCTGAGAGAACAGCAAACAAAGATTTCTGCATCACATTCTTTCTGCACCATTATGCCTTCTCTGCTGAAATCACAGGCACCGCGGCCTGCAGCAGGACTGAAAGCTTCTCTCTGTCACGAGCCTGCTGTTTGAAACGCGCTCTGGATGAATGGTGCGCAGCCAGCAGCTTGCTCCTCTCCTCTGCTTGCCTTTCATGCTTGCTCTCTTCCTCTCCCCACATACGTGGTCAGAAGAGCATCCCCTTCTTTTGCTTCCAGTGTGGGTTCACTTTAGAAAGACAATTCAGTGACAGGGAGGAGGGCTGGAGCAAAAAGACAGGAGTGGTTGTAACACTGGCAAGCTATAACACTGGAAGCTCTCCCTTCCCTATTGAGGTTTTCTGTTCTCCAATTACCTCACCTCTCAGGCCACTGATCTTTAGTGGCTTACGCACCTCTTTGAAAGAGCTACTGCACTGCAAGATGCACGTTCTCAGTTTCTCGGGTATGCATGAGAAAGCAAACAAGTCCATAATCTACATGGCCAAGGGCACGATCTCCCTGGGCAAGAACACCATATAAGCTGCCCTTCAATTCAAGGGAAAACATTTGCACTAGATTGCAAATAAAAGCTCCGGGTGGCCAGTGCCTCGTTGCAAGAACTAGGGGTCAAAATAGATGGGAAGGCCACGTGCTTCAATGGAAAAAGCTCTCCTAGAAAGAGAGAGAGAGAGAGGGAAGAGGAAAACAGAGCGTGCTGCCTGCAAAGGAGGTGGCTCAGGTCTTTGCCAGAGCAGAGTGGGTTCAGGTGGTGTTTGCGTGTT